GTTTCACCATGTTAGTCAAGCTGGTCTCGAACTCCTGACCTGGTGATCTGCCCACCTCAGCCTCCCAAAGTGCTGGGATTACAGGAGTGAGCCACTGTGCCGGGTCACCCGGCTAATTTTTTTGTGTTTCTAGTGGATACAGGGTTTTAGCCTGTTGGTCAGGCTGATCTCCAACTACTGACCTCAAGTGATCCACCGGCCTTGAACTCCGAAAGTGCTGGGATTATATGTGTGAGCCACCATGTCAGGCCTCCAATTGAGGGCCATTCTACAAAACACCCTACCAGTATTACTCCAAGCTGCCAAAGTCATCAAAAACATTAAAAGTCTATGAAATTGTTACAGCCAAGAGGCGCCTAAGGGGATATGACAACTATATGTAATCTGGGTCTGGCACAGTGGCTCACACCTGTAATCCCAACATTCTGGGAGGCCGAGATGGGAGGATCCCTTGAGGCTACGAGTTCAAGACCAGCCTGGGCAACATGGCAAGACTCTGTCTCTACAAAAAAATTAAAAAGTTAGCCAAGCCTGGTGGCACACACATGTGATTCCAGCTACTTGGGAGGCTAAGGCAGGAGGATAGCTTGAGCCGAGGAGGTTGAAGCTGCGATGAACTGTGATCGTGCCACTGCATTCCAGGCTGGGTAACAGAGAAGACCTTCTCTCAAAAATAAATAAAGGCCCAGTGCAGTGGGTCAAGCCTGCAATCCCAGCACTTTGGGAGACAGAGGCGGGCATATCACTTGACGTAAGGAGTTTGAAACCAGCCTTGCCAACGTGGTGAAACCCCATCTCTACTAAAAATACAAAGGTTAGCTGGATGTGGTGGCGGATAACTGTAATTTCAGCTACTTGGGAGACTGAGGCAGGATTGTCTCCTGAACCTGGGAGGCGGGAGATTGCAGTGAGCCGAGATTGCATCACTGCACTCCAGCCTGGGTGATAGAGTGAGACTCTGTCTCAAAACAAACAAAAAAAAGCAAACATAAAAATTAAAAATAAATGTAATGCGGTATCTCTGATGTCATCCTAGAAAAGAAAAAGGACATGAGGGAAATTAAGGAAATGTGAATATAGTATAGACTTTAGTTGGCAACAATGTATCAATATTTGTCAATAATTTAACAACAGGTTGGGACACAATGGCCCACGCCTGTAATCCCAGCACTTTGGGAGGCTGAAGCCAGCGATCAACTGAGGTCATAGGTTCGAAAGCAGTCTGGCCAACATGGTGAATCCCTGTCTCCACTAAAAATACAAAAATTAGCCAGGCTCGGTGGCTCACACCTATAATCCCAGCATTTTGGGAGGCCAAGGTGGGCAAATCACTGAGGTCAGGAGTTTGAGACCAGCCTGGCCAACATAGTGAAACCCCGTCTCTACTAAAAATACAAAAAATTAGTCGGGTATGATGATGTGCATCTGTAATCCCAGCTACTCAGGAGGCTTAGGCAGGAGAATTGTGTGAACCCAGGAGGCAGAGGTTGCAGTGAGCCAAGATTGCGCCATTGGACTCTAGCCCAGGCAACAATGTGAAACTCCATCTCAAAAAAAATAAAAAACAAGGCCGGGCACAGTGGCTCATGCCTGTAATCCCAGCACTTTGGGAGGCCGAGGTGGGCAGATCACGAGGTCAAGCGATTGAGACCATCCTGGCCAACGTGGTGAGACCCTGTCTCTACTAAAAATATAAAAAATTAGCTGGGCATGGTGGTGTGTGCCTGTAGTCCCAGCTACTCAGGAGGCTGAGGCAGGAGAATTGCTTGAGCCTGGGAGGCAGAGGTTGCAGTGAGCCGAGATCACGCCACTGCACTCCAGCCTGGCACCTGGCAAGAGAGCAAGGCTCTGTCTTGAAAAAAAAAAAAAAAAAAGAAAGAAAAGGAATAGCCTGGTGTGGTGGCGCACACCTCTAGTCCAAGCTCCTTGGGAGACTGAGGCACAAGAATCCCTTGAACCTGGGAGGCAGAGGTTGCAGTGAGCTGAGATTGCGCCATGGCTCTCCAGCCTAGGGGACAAAGTGAGACTCTGTCTCAAAAAATAAAAAATAAAAATAACTAAATAAAAGGCTGGGTGCAGTGGCTCATTCCTGTAAGCCCAGCACTTTGGGAGGCTAAGGTGCGTGGACTACAAGGTCAGGAGTTCACGACCAGCCTGACCAACCTGGTGAAACCCTATCTCTATTAAAAATACAATAATTAGCGGGGTGTGGTGGCACGCCCCTGTAATCCCAGCTACTCAGGAGGGTGAGGCAGAAGAATTGCTTGAACCAGGGAGGGGGAGGTTGCAGTGGGTCAAGATAGTACAACTGCACTCCAGCCCTAGTGACAGAGTAAGACTCTGTCTCAAGAAAAAATAAACGAATAAATAAAATCATAATAACAATACTAATATTAGATGCAAATAAGGGAAAGTGTTGGCCAGGCACAGTGGCTCACACCTGGGATCCCAGCATTTTAGGAGGCCGAGGCAGTGGATCACCTGAGGTCAGGAGTTTGAGACCAGCCTGATCAACCTGGAGAAACCCTGTCTCTACTAAAAATACAAAATTACCTGGGCGTGGTGGCAGGTGCCTGTAATCCCAACTACTTCGGAGGCTGAGGCAGGAGAGTCACTTGAACCCAGGAGACGGAGGTTGCAGTGAGCTGAGATCATGCCATTGTACTCCAGTCTGGGCAACAAGAGTGAAACTCCATTCCCCGCCCCCCAAAAAAATAACATTTTTTTTGTAGTGACAGGGTCTCTCCATGTTGCACTGGCTGGTCTTAAATTCCTGGCCACAAGCAATATTCCTGCCTCAGCCTCCCAAAGTGCTGAGATTATAGACATAAGCCACCACACCCAGTCTTTTAAAGAAAAAAACATAGTCTCACCCAACAAAAATTTCATAAATCCTGGCTGGGTGTGATGACATGTACCTGTGGTCCCAGCTACATGGGAGGCTGAAGTGGGAGGATCACTTGAGCCAAAGAGGTTGAGGCTGCAGTGAGTCATGAAAGCACCACTGCACTCCAGCCTCAGTGACAAAGCAAGACCCTCTCTCAAATAAAAAAAGTAAATCCTTAATATCGTACAAAATCCAGTTTATATACAGTATTCTCCAACAGCCTTAAAAAACAGTCTCAAAAATCAAGATATAAACAAAGACCACATTTTATATTTAATAGTCTTCAGCTGGGCGAAGTGGCTCACACCTGTAATCCCAGCATTTTGGGGGGCCGAGGTGGGTGGATCACCTGAGGTCTGACCAGCCTGACCAACATTGTGAAATCCCATCTCTACTACAAATACAAAAATTGGCCAGGTGAGGTGACTCACACCTGTAATCTCAGCACTTTGGGCGGCTAAGGTGGATGGATCACCTGAGGTCTGGAGTTTGAGACCAGCTTGGCCATCATGGTGAAACCTCGTCTCTACTAGAAATACAAAAATTAGCTGGGCATGGTGGCACACGCCAGTAACCCTAGCTACCTGGGGGCTGAGGCAGGAGAATCACTTGAACCTGGGAGGCGGAGGTTGCAGTGAGCCTAGATCACACTACTGCCCTCCAGCCTGGGTGACAAGAGCAAGACTTCAACTTAAAAATAAAAATAAAAATAAAAAAACTACTGAATCAGATTGAGGTCCAGCAATCTGTTCTGTTTTGTTGAGACTGAGTCTTGCTCTATAACCCAGGCTGTAGTACAGTGGTTCTATCTTGGCTGACTGTAACCTCTGTCCCCGGTTCAAGCGATTCTCCTGCCTCAGCCTCCTGAGTAGCTGGGACTACAGGTGCACACCACCCTGCTTGGCTAATTTTTGTATTTTTAGTAGAGACAGGGTTTCACCACATTGGCCGGGCTGGTCTCCAACTCCTGGCCTCAGGTGATCATTAGCCTCCCAAAGTACTAGGATTATAGGCATGAGCCACCGTGCCCAATCCCAGCAATCTGTTTTAACGAGGCTTCCAGCTGATTCTAGTGCCTGCTAAATTTGGAGACCCACTAGACTAACATTGGCTGCCCCATGATGTCCTTCCGTCTAGCAATGATTTACTTAAGGTCCTACTATGTGCATGCCAGTGTGCTGGGTGCTCAGCATTAGATGCGAAGAACAAGGTCTGAGACAGAAAGGAACTAGCAGTCTATTCAAGGGAACAGGACATATGCCTGTGAAAAGGTAACCAGTGACAGTTGGTAGTTGGCAGTGTGTTCTTAGCATACCACAGGACTGGTACAGGCGGTAAGAGTCCAGGTGATTCCAAGGAAAGTTCGGTGAGTAGGCATGGCTGGCAGAAGTTTTAGAGTTGACGCCAGCTAAGCCTTAAAGAGAAATCCTTTGGAGACAGGGGTGGCAGGGAAAAGGGAAGATTTCCAGGAAGAGATACTGGGATGAACAAAGGCAAGATTCTGGAGAAGACGATAACCTTGCTAGCAATGCAGCTTTCTTCCCTCTCTTCTCACCACCACTATTCCCGCAGTGCACTCTGGCAGTGGTCTTTCCTTGGGCCTTTTTCACTGTTACCTTCTAGCTCGTCCATAAACACATTCGTCACTTTGGGGTGTGCGTATGTGTGTGTGTGTGTGTGCTGCCGTGGGCGTGGATGCTGGGATGTAGGATGTGGTAACACAGGCTGGTGAGTGCAGAAGGACGTCTGAGGAACGCTCTGTCCCTGCCAGGGGTGTCGTATGTGCAGAAGAGCCTATGCCTACTGTACATCAGAAGGATGTGTGGGCCAGGCGCAGTGGCCCACCCTGTAATCCCAGCACACTTTGGGAGGCCCAGGCGGGCGGACTGCCTAGGGTTGGGAGTACGAGGCCAGCCTGGCCAACGTGGTGAAACTCCGTCTCTACTAAAAATACAAAAATTAGCCAGGCATGGTTGCGAGCACCTGTAATCCCAGGTACTTGGGAGGCTGAGGCACAAGAATCGCTTGAGCCCGGGAAGCGGAGGTTGCAGTGAGCCAAGATTGCGCCACTGCACTCCAGCCTTGGCGACAGAGCAAGACTATTTCTCAAAAAAAAGAAGGATGCATGTTCTGAGTGATGGTATAGAGCTTACGTAGAAGTAATAAACCGCCAGCGAAGCAGCACGGCGCTCACCAGCACGCCACTCTGAACAGGCAAAGCCCAGAGTGCTCGCAGCTAAGCCCGGGAGGGGCGGGGCTGGGCTGCGGGGCGGAAGCTGGAATCCGGCGGCTGCGGAAACGCGACCTCTGCGGGGCAAGATGGCGGCGCCCCGACAGGCCTGGAGCACGTACGTGGCGGGGCTGGAGGGACGGATTTCAGGTGATCTGGGCGGAGGACCCAGGGCAGCATGTCCAGTTTCTTTGCTGGAACCTGCCTGCGGGCCTTTGGTCTGTAAGGGAGCGACTGTGGCCTCTTCTTTGCATAGATCTCGGGCACGGCCCTTCAACGGGCAGCAAAAGCTGCAACTAGGTGATTCCTCATTGCGGAGTTGAGTGGTTTAGGAGGCTTAACTAGAGCCCTTAACCAGAGCCTAAGGGCAGTCGCGCTTCCCGACTCGGGATTGGATCCTGGCTCTGGAGGATAGACTGCAATGTAAGAGCCCCTGAAACTCTTCAGAGGCCAAGATAAACCCAGAGGTCCATTGTTAGGGCTGCTTTTTTTTTACGAGTTACTCTAGCCAGGGGACCCATCCTTATCCTTTTTTAAATTTTATTTTAAATTTTGAGATGCAGTTTCACTCTTGTTGACCAGGCTGGAGTGCAATAGCGTGATCTCGGCTCACTGCAACCTCTGCCTCATGGATTCAAGCAATTCTCCTGCCTTAGCCTCACAAGTAACTAGGATTACAGGCGCCTGCCACAACGCCTGGCTAATTTTTTGTATTTTTAGTAGAGATGGGGTTTCACCAAGTTGGCCAGGTGGGTCTCGAACTCCTGACCTCAGGTGATCCATCTGCCTCAGCCTCCCAAAGTGCTGGGATTACAGGCGTGAGATACCGGGCCAGGCCAACCCATTCTTGTTCTATTAATAACTTAAGATGTTATCACTTCTAGCACGGATTGGTTCTGGACAAATTGCTCTGGAGTTTGTGGGGAAATACACTGTTGCCTTTACTTAGGATGAAAAGAATTGGAATTGTTACTGAGGTTTATTTATATAAGTAACAGGCACTGGGCTAGGCGCTTCCATAAGTCAGTTAAATCCTCACACATTTCCTATTATATGGGACCTGTTATTCACATTTTACAGTTGTGGAAACGAGACTTAAGACAGCATAGAGGCTGGGTGCAGTGGCTCACAACTGTAATTCCGGCACTTTGGGAGGCGGAGTTGGGTGGATCACCTGAGGTCAGGAGTTTGAGACCAGCCTGATCAAAATGGAGAAACCCCATCTCTACTAAAAAAAAATACAAAAAATTAGCTGGGTGTGGTGGCAGGCACCTGGAATCCCAGCTACTCAAGAGGCTGAGGCAGGAGAATCACTTGAACCCAGGAGGTAGAGTTTGCAGTGAGCCTCTTGTACCATTGCACTCCAGCGTGAGCAACA